CGATGTTGAAAAGTGTAAGTATATTTATTATCACCTGTACGTAAAGGAACACGATGTACGATTTCGATCAAATGTCTTGGTTCTTCAAAACTGCAATTCAGTAGCACGTCACACACGATATCATAGCAGTTTTCATTGTTGGTTTCCTTCAGACCTCAATACCTCAGACAACTATTAGTTGCGTGTGTCAAAACCGAACATTATAACTTCTAGAAAATAGTCTCAGACATTTTCCTACCTTTACCTCCAATTAACAAAGTAGTGCCGACAACAACAACATTTTTTTTAATTCCTCAACTCATCATTCGTCTTCAGCGAGTGCCCAATAAATTTTGATAGAATCGACTTTGGGACAATTCGACCGTCCACTATGTGTTTCCTTCATCATATTGCAAGGAGAGGAGAGTGAGTGAATCAAATGGATTTTCCTCGCAATTCAAAATGCAATATTTTCAATGCAATGACAACCGCATTATATAAACATAGTATGTAGTTGTACAAGAAATATTATCGAGTATAGTTTTACGTTGAACCAGGTCAGACGTTTCAGTGAGCGTAGAATATGTTCATAGAATACAGATCGCTTTCTAGCTCAGTGGGACTGTGGTTAAACTGAGTCATCAAAGATAAAGCTTATGAACTCTTAAGTAAGATTATTGGATTAATCTAAGGTGTGTGAAAAACATGGATATCTGTTGTGGATGAGTTCTAGAAATAGGCAATATTGACGTGAGTTTATAAAAAAATATAGGGACATGGGAATGAGGTTTCTGTCAGTGATGTACAGCGAACAATCAGTATTCTTCGGACTGTCAGGTTGTCACCCCGGTGGCATCATGGGAAATTCACCAAATGCAATCGGTATAGCGGTATATTTCCTATTATGACTAATACTAAACTAAACACGTTTTTTTCTGAGATTATTTGATGTTAAGTGTCGATTGTGGCCTGACCACACTTAATTACGTATCCATGGTTTCGAGGTCACCCACATTCCAGAGATATACGACATACTTAAAACAAATCCATGACAAAACACAGTTTGCCCTTTGTCAACCATAATTGAAATAAATTGCGATTTGTTTTAATTTACGAAACATTCCAAGATGAATTGTAAAAATTACATTATGATGGGAAATGCGTCCGTGTCCTGTTCTCTGTTTTAAATTACCACAGGGTCACTAAAAAAATCTAGAGATCCAGATGATTTGCCGCTGAGTTGCGAATTCCTGTTTGCATGGTTGCTACGTTACTAATTGTGCTCTCAGTACAGAAAGATATGTCGATTTTATAAACGGTTGTCCAGTAGCGCAATGCAGAATAACATTTTCTGAACAAATGAAACTGCCTGCTGATCGGAAGTGAATGTACATGGATTCGAGCCCCATTCGTGGCCATGATAGAGAATTCACAGTTTCTCTGACTTCATTCAGAATAACCGAAGAGAGTAACTAAAGTTCGAAGAGTATGTTTGTGTGTAGAATTATATAGAAGATATTTGAGTGGATAGAGATAACGGAGGCGAGATAACAGTGGCTTGAAGACGTAACGAGGTTTATTATACTAACATAACATAACCAGCATCTGACAAGTACGAGGAATATTTCTCAATTTATAGGGAATGGTGCATTTTTGAATTTAGGCGGGAAGGGGATATATTACATGTTTGTGATAGGTCAATAAGAAGGGTATGTGATTGGCTAAAATATATGCGTTGTGATTGGCTGAATCTTTCGTATGCAGAATCCAAAAGTTGCATTGAGCTCGAGTGCTTATAATGATTCCCGATAGTTTGTTCGCTAGATCACGTGACCGGCTAGCAAGGGAGATACATGCCAGATAAACAGTGTCAATATTACGATATGAATTTTAATTGCATATATATATATTTAGAGCGTGAATAGTATCTTATTTATATATAAACATATCGTTTCATATGTTATGCTATCGGAATAGGCAAACAAAAATTGTAAAGCAGTTTGTACCAAGTTTTGAATATCATGTTTACCGTCGATAAAATATGACGTCATTTATTTACACAGAATGGCCGGATATCACAAGTATTGTTACGGAACACAGGACCGAAAAAGAAATGAATCTATAACACCTAAAGCCAGTGAGTGTGTTCGGTGTATGAATCAGAATCAATCAGAACGATGTGTTCAGGAAATTAATATGCTGATATAATTATACGCAGATTACGCTGATACACGGGACTCTATGGCGAACCATGGAGGTAGAATGGGCTAACAAAAAAAACGCAATTAGAAATAGGTTTTGATTTAAAAAAAGGCAAAGTTAATTGTTAACTGGTTTTAAATCAGGGGGGAAGCTTGAGGGTGACTCCTCAACCCAAAGGTCTCATTTGCATATTTATATTTACCTGTTTCTTACTTAGGTCTCATTTGCCTTTTTGTATAAACTATTAGTACCATGTATAGGGCTAGTTAACTTAAAGGTCACTTTTGCATATTTGAGGGGGGTGACCAATCATTCGGCGACTGCCTATGGATTAACGGAGGTGGCGCTTCGCGCCGTTATTTAAGCATGGTTTTAACACTCTTAATTCAGTGTTCCTGCATTGCCTGCCTTTGCTGCCAATTTACCTCACCTGCTGCTGCTGCCGGTTTTCCCACCCTTGCCCACCCCTTTTTTTTGTAGTTTTTGTTTTTTCCTAGGGTTGGGGCTGGCGATTCCAAGTTTTTTACTTAGACTTGTTTTTTGCTCTTGTATGTTTGAAACATGTTATGTTTTTATTGCAATATTTGTGCTTGTACCTTTTCAAGTTTATGCTTTCACAATTGTTTTCATGATTTTACCTGTTTGGTAGTTTTTGCTTTAATCTTATCTATTTTGTTATTTTCTATTCATTTGAATTTAGCTTGCTTTGAATTTTGTTTTTCCAGGGGGATATAGTCTTTAGTTCTGGTTTGACTTATCATTTACCTGCTTTTAGATTTAGGATGAACACTTAGTTTGTAGAAATAAACTACCCCCTACTGGACCCAAGACACTGTTGTGTACGAGTATTTTGTTTTGTTTGTGAGGGTGTTTTGCTCTGCTCTGGCGTTGCGCCCTCTGGCGGTGAACCATGATTTAAATGTACATTTGAATGTCTGAATAAATATCCGAAACAACAATTTGAAGTTGGTTGTTGAAAAAAATTAACTTTGAGGACTGCTTTAATAGAGCAAATAAAATACACTACAGTTCAAAAACTTATGCTAGCGTGGCGTTAATGCACAATTACATGTACAAGAAATGATTAATACTGTGACTGCAAGCACACAGCAAAACTTGGTATTGGAAGCAAGCCATTTTGAAGTTAATAGATATTTTCAAAACGCAATTTTTTAGGAAACCACCCAGGCATTGTACATGTTCAGATTCAGTGTTCTCATTTGCATGCAAAAATGATTTCAAAGTTAATTAGCTACTTGTCTTAATGCAAGGCTAACGTTTGTTAACACAGAGTTGGCATGGTCACAAGGCGATAGGTAAACAAGTTTTGAGCTGTACTGTACATGCTCTAGGAGAGCTAGAGCTTGATGGTAAAACATCATGTAAACTAATGAAATTGTTCGTAAGTATTGAATGTCATGCTGAACAATGAAAGGCTAGTAAGTTATACTGAAGGGAGAAGTAAACAATGTAACAGTTTCTTTTGCAGGTACAAAATGTATCCAATGTAGGCGACTGAAAAACACTTGAAGGTATTATTGCCAAATTACATTCGCTA